CTCCCCCCCCCCGCCCCAGGCCAGATCCCTACTCACCCCCTAGCAGCACCAGCCCGGTCCAGAGCAGCAGCAGCCTCCTCGTTGCCATGGCTGTAAGACAAGGGGCAGGGCAAAGGGTGAGTCAGGGCAATGGGGGGAGTCAGGGTGCCAGGGGGAGCAGAGGTGAGTGTGGGGGTGGGGGAGGCAGCGCCGAGGGGGAATTGGGATTCCCAGGGCAAGTGGGAGCCAGGATGCCTGGGCTCTCCCCCAGCTCTTGTCGGGGCTCCTGCCTGTTCCAGGTCAATGTAGATGAACCTTGCTCTCCACTGCCCTGCAGTCTCTCCCACGCCCCAGTGCCAGCCCAGCCACAAAGGGTTAAAATGAGACTCCTGCCATCCACCCTGGGATTGCCGCAGCCAGGGGGGCGGAGGAGCTGGAGACACCAGGTGTGTGGCCCCATATGACAGATCCCCCTGAAACCTGGTCAGCAACTTCCCTGGGGCACACCATGCCCTCACGGGCTACCAGGCAGTGTCATGCGCCCATCGGAATGCAGCTGGGACAGGCCGCTGCTGGAGACCAGATACCATGGTAGATGGGCCCATGGTCTGGTCTGGTCTGGGTGCTCCCGGGGCTTGGAAGGAGGTGATGCCTTTACCCCAAAAGAAGCATCCCTGTCTGTCTTTTATCTGTCTGGTCCTGCTGCAGAGCGACCCCCTCCTCCTCTCCCTACCCTGCGCTCTCCTTGCTCACCCTCCATGGTCTGCTCTCTGCGCCTTCTTGTTTCTCTCGCTAGGCCTCAGCGCGCATCTGTCTGTCCGTCCATTGATCTGTCAATGTCCATACACACCCATCCTTTAGCTAGATCAACCCCCTTCCATCCCCACACATATACCTTCTATCCCTCCCATATACAGACCCTCTCTGCCATCGTCTCTCCCTCCATCTGTCTGTCTGTCTCCCACCAAACTTGAACCCAAGCAGCATTGAATCTCCTGCCATCAACATGTCCCCACTACACCCCTGAGTGAGGGCTGGGGGCAAAAGAGAAAGGCAAGAATTTGGACTTACCTGCCGGAAGCACCTGGCTGGCTCAGCAGTGGAGCCTGAGGGGCTTAAATAGCAAGGGACTCCTCGAGGGGTGGGGACACCCATGGGCGAGGCAAAGAGGCCAGGCTTCATCACAGCTTCCTGGAGGAGGGCAATCCTACACAGAGGCAAAGGATGCTAGAGAATAAAGTGCAGAGACATGACAAATAGCACAGCGGGTTACAATGTCCAGACTGGGGCGGAAGGCAAACCAAGGAGTCAGTTTCCCTTTGCCCTGCAATTCGGAGATCGGGGGGGATGCAACAGAGGCCTGTGGAACACCTTGCCACAGGGTGTTTTGGGGTCCAGCAAGGCTAGTCAGAGTTAGTCCCTCCTAACTCTGACTAGTTTTATGCAGCCCCTGTGACCACACAGGGAGCCTTAGAGTATTATGGTATGGAACCCAATGCCGTGGGTTAAAGAGACCGCCCCACACACAATATGCCACTGGCCAGTAGGGGGTTTCTTAACCCTCCTAGCCCTCAGACAGCCAGAGGCAGGGCCCCTGCAGCATCAAGGTATGTCTGGGTGTGTCTGGGACCAGGAGGCGCTAGTCAGGAGCCTGTCCTGGGTGAAAATGTTTCACCAGCGTATTTCCCCTCCACTCAGCCAGGATTAAAGGGGCCACCACCGCAAGGCCCTGTTGGCACCTTGCCTCCCCAAGCTCAGGGGTAGAACCCAGGGTCCTGACTCCAGCCCCCCGCTCTAACCCCCTGGAGACCACTCCCTCCCCAGGCCCACAGACAGAACCCATGAGCCCTGACGCCCAGCTCTCTGCCCCACTGAATCCCCCAGGGGCCCCACCCTGTGGCTGCAGTAGCGTCAATAGTGGTGACTATTTTCACACAGGCGGAGGCAGGGCTGGGCCAGCACAGCCAGGCCCTCCTTGACTCCAGCCCCCCGCTCTAACCCCCTGGAGACCACTCCCTCCCCAGGCCCACAGACAGAACCCATGAGCCCTGACGCCCAGCTCTCTGCCCCACTGAATCCCCCAGGGGCCCCACCCTGTGGCTGCAGTAGCGTCAATAGTGGTGACTATTTTCACACAGGCGGAGGCAGGGCTGGGCCAGCACAGCCAGGCCCTCCT